GCTGCCCTTTGCCCCCGCTGTTCCGTGTGACCCGGGCCCGGCCGCTCGGTCCGGCAGCCCCACCTCTGGGCGCCCTTTCTGGTGGTGCTTGATGTCGGGGACTCGGCCTCCCTTAGCCACAGCTCCCCGCCCAAGCAGGAGACTCCTGGGAGGCGGCTCTGCGTGTGCCTGGGTGACTTGGCCCGCAGGCTGCCGGCGTGCTCGGCCTTCCGTCCTCTAAGCCCAGGATGCTCTGTCAGTCGGTCTGTCTGCGAGGGTGGCCTCCCTGCCTCCCGCCCTTCCTCTCTGTCGCTGTCTGTCTCTCTTCCCTTCCTCTCCCCGCTCTTCCCTCTGTACTTAATCTGTTTCTGTTTTTCTGGGCTTTGAAGCACCCATCAATTGTTAAAAATTAGCATATATTTGTGGTACATGTTTACAGTACCTGTGTAAGGTCGGTACATACACATAGCACCTCTTAATTACTTTTTTCACCTTTATTTCCTACCCCATCTCTCTCTCTCTCTCTCTCTCTCTCTCTCTCTCTCTTTGGTGGGAAATCGAACTCAGGATCTTGCACAGGTGGCAGCACCACTGAGCTATATCCCCGGCCCTAGTTTCAGTTTTTTGAGGAATCTCCCTAGTGATCGTGATCGTTCTAGTTCATATCGCCACCAACAACGTAGAAGGGTTCCTTTTCCCCTGAAGCCTTTGCAATATTTGTTATGAATTGATTTTTAGGGGTGTACCGGGGAACGACCTCGAGACCTTGCACTTGTGAGGCACGCAGCGGAACCACTGAGCTAAATCCCTGGCCCTGTTCTATTAACTGATTTTTTTTGATGGTGATCTTTCTGGGGTAAGATAGAATCTCAAAGTTTCATTTGCATTTCTCTAATTGCCAGCAATGTCAAACGTTTTTCATGTATTTATTGGACATTTGTACATCTTCTGTGAAGCGTTTATTTATTTTGCTTGCCCATTTTTGCTCGCTTTTTTTTAATTCTGGGGGATCAAATATTTTTGAGTTCTTTATGTAGTCCACATGTGAGTCCTCTGACTGAGAAATAGCCGACAAAATTTGTCTCTCATTCTGTAGGTTGTCTTTTCACTCTGTTGGTTGTTTCTCTTGCTGTGATGATTCCATTTGGATTTTGTCAAAGGCCTTTTCTGTGTCTATGGAGACGATCATGTGATTTTTGTCCTTGCTTCTGTTTATCTAATGTGTACATGCATCAATTTGCCCATGTTGTACCATCTTTACATCTGTGGGATTGAAGCCTACTTGGTCATGAGGTATGATCTTTTTTTTTTTTTTTTTTTTTGGTATCAGGGATAGAACTCGGGTTCTTGTGCTTGCGAGGCAGGCAGCGGAACTACTGAGCTAAATCCCCAGCCCTAGGTGTGATCTTTTTGATGATTCATTGCATTCTGTTTGCCAGTATCTTGTAATGTGATTTTTTTTTTTTTTTTTTTGTACCAGTGATTGAACTTGGGACCTTGCACTTTCAAGGCAGGTGGTGGAACCACTGAGCTAAATCCCTGGCTCTCTTGTTAAGTATTTTTACATCTATATTCATTAAAGAGATTGATTTATAGTTCCCCTTTTTGGTTGGATACTCTTCTGGCTTTAGAATCAGGGTTATGGTAGCTTCCAGGAATGATTTTGCAAGTACTACTTTCCTTTCAATTTTATTTGAAAGCTTGAGAAGTATTGGTGTCTGACGGTAGCTATGTCACGCCCAATGATGATGATGTTCCTGCCTTGGAGCCAGGTGACCATGGACTGAATCCCTGAAACCATGAGCCAAATTAAATCTTTCCCCCTTTAAATTGTGGGTGTCAAGTATCATGTCCCAGTAACAGGAAAGCTGACTAATGCAGAAAACTGTTATTAAACAAGTGTGGCCTTAGCTGTGACTATACAAGATCCTATGGTTTGGAAGTCTTTGAAACTAATTTGTGGGAGGAGTTTGAAAAAGTTTGGACCTGCAGGCTAGAGAAGCCTTGGAATGCTGGAAGCAGACCTGATAAGTCATTCTGGTTAAACATCAGAAGACTAGAATGGTGACAGGTATTTTTGTTTGTTTGTTTTGCTTTCTTTTTTTTGTACCAGGGAACATACCTGGGATCAAACTTGGGACCTTGCGCTTGTGAGGCAGGCAGTGGAACCACTGTGTAACTCAGGCTGGCTTTGAACTCGTGGTGGTCCTCCTTTCTCTGCCTCCCAAGTGCCGTATTACAGGCTTGTGCCAGCATAACCAGCTAGGAATGTTGATAATAAAGACCAGGCTCGGAAGGTTTCAAATGGGAATGAGGACTCCATTGATAATGGACTAGAGGCCATGTGTGTTACACTGTGGAAAAAAAGTTTGTCTCCATTTTATTTGGGTCCTGAGATTGTGGGAGACTGAAATTAAGAGCTACAGACTAATAGATCTTGTGGAGGAAATTTCAAGGAACCCAAACATTCAGGCTCCCGCACTGAGGCCCTGGAAGCCCCTAGATGGAGTCCGCCTGCAGCTGTTCTGAGTTTCGAGCTCAGCTGGCCCCTCTCCAAGATGGCTGCCAGCCAGTTGCCCTCCCGCTCCTGGGTGAGGTCTGAACCTGCATAACTCACCAGCTGCTGCAGTCGGTCTGCCCACTGCTCTGTGGCGTGGGTGTGTTTCTCCTTGGGGGCTGCTGGGTTCGGCCTGCCCTTCCCTCGCCGAGAGTCTGGGCTCTGGGAGAGAGTGCTGCTTGGTACCTCCCTCGTCTGCATTACAGCCTCTCTCTTCACTCTCCTGCAGACTTCAGTTCTCACCCCAGACTTCCCTCCTTCTTTTCCTCCTCGTGCTGCTCTATTACAGTGTCGGGACACTGCTCACCACACCTCCGTCTTCCTAGGATGAGGGCCTGGGGTAATTCTCCCACTTCCCCATTACCGAGCCCATCTTTCACTCTGCGGTCACCATTTTATCTGAAAGACTGAAGCAACACTGAATTTATCCCCACCTGTAGGCTCATTCAGTGCCTGAGAGTAACAGAGCTGTGTCACTGGGGACAGAGGGTGGGCAGGTCTTTGCCCCTTGCATGTGCAGATCTGGAGGCAGGACCCTGCGGAGGGCCTGTGAACCAGGGCGCTCCCTTTTTATAGGGGAAGCCTGATGTTCACTGTGCAGGGGAATGAGCACTTTAGTCAGACAGCAGGATGAGCGAGCTCAGATCCCCAAGTCCCATGGGAAGGTTTAACTTGGAGCCCCCCCCCAGCTGTTGGGAGGCAACCCCTGAGCATCGCTGAGGCCCTTCTTGGGCCATACCGCACACCATCTCTCGGTGGGTCTTTCTTGGGAAGGAGACACATTCACTTAATGAGAAGTCTAACTTTGGAGAATAAGCCCAAGCCCATATCATTTCTGGATGAGTGCCACCAAGTCACCAACCTGAATAATTTTGTCCTGTGGACTGTGTCTTCCCCAAATTCACACGTCAAATCTCTACTGCTCCGTGTGATTGCATTCAGAGATGGGGCGCGTGGGAGGTAATTAGGGTTAGAGACGGTCATGCTGGGATTAGTGCCCTTAAAAGAAGAGACATCAGAAGGCTTGCTCTGCCCATTCTCTTTACCCTTCTCTGAGGACCCTGTGAAGGTGGCTGTCCATAAGCCAGGAAGAGAGCTTGCAGCAGAAACTGACTATGCTGGTACCATGAACTTGGACTCCCAGCCTCCAGAAGTGTGAGAAGATGAACTTCTGCTGTGTGAGCCAGCCATCTGTTGTATTCAGTTGTGGGCAGCCAGGGCCAACTTAGACATTGTGACAGGATGGGTAAGGGCAGTGAGGTCCCTTAACTTACCTGGGCCTTGGTTTCTTCATCGGCAGATTGGCAAGGGTGACCCTGGGTTGTCATGGGTGGTCACACTGCTGTTTCTCCATGAATGCCGTGATTGTTACTGACACCCATGTACAACTTTTTGAACTCTTCCAGTCCCAAGGTTGGGGGCTGGACCCAGAGGTAAAGGCGGGGAGGATGGGACAAAGCCCCTGCATGCCTGGGAGTTGGAGTTACTGGACTCTCCAGTGTGCAGAGGCTGCTCTACCAGAGCTGCTGGATTCTGAGGACTCCTGGCCCCTTCACCCAAGGTCTGCCCTCTTCCCGGCTTTGTGTTTAGTGCTGGGTTGCCATGGAAGAAGGTTTTGTGTCTCTGGGCCCAAAGCAGTACTGTGAGAGGCTGCAGCCTCAGGGACAGGACTTGCCGTCTTGCTCCCTGTTTGGGGCAGGCTCTGCAGTCAGAGCCGTGCTGTAGTCCTTTCCTTCTCGAGGGCTCCTGGGCTCCTGCCTGTAGGGCTGGTCCGGCTCTGGACACCCCTGGGCAGTAGGAGCAGCAGAGCTGACTACTGTTAGGGCAACGCAGAGGATAAACAAGTAAAAAACGCATATGCTCGACGGTAACAAATAAGGCAGAGAGGACAGGGGCACTGTGAGGAGGGGGGGGCCCTCCTACCACCCCTTGGCTCTGTGGGTTCTGTGGCTGGAGCTAGGAACCAAATTAATAGAAGGCTCATGGAGGAGAGAAGCTCACAGGTGTATACGGGCATCGTCACGAGCGTGAAGGCAGAGGCAGCGACAGAAGCACGATGCCTTTGCACTTTCTAGACCAACAGCCAGCTTGTAAAGGGACGACCGGGTGCACGCTGCTCTAGGGGAGCCAGGAAGGCGGCATGGGGGTCACGAAACCCCTGGAAGACGTGAGTTTATCAGGTGGCTGCAGTCTCCCATGACCAAGGCTAAGAGGATGCCTTCCCTGAAGGACCCTTGTGTCTCACAGGGTCCTCTCTGAAGTCGCACTTTATGAAGGACAGAGCGACTCAGCGGATCTGAGGTGGTTCTTGACTCCTCGGTGGGCGTGGCAGTGTGTAGGTGGCAGCCTTTCCAATGGGCCCTCAACTAGGAGGAGCATGGAAGAAAGCCGCAGGAGGTGAGGGACTGGGAGGTGGCTGAGGGAGGCCGCACAGCCTGGAGTGAGGGGAGAGGGGGAGCTGGGCAGCGGTGAGGGAAGCCGCAGACCATCAGGCGGCAGGAAGGACGGCTGCTTGCAGCCAGCAGGGGGTGCTGTGCAGCTGGATTCGACCGGCCAGAAGCCGCGACAGCCCTGGGCTTGTTGTGGGGAGAGACCCGGCTGCCCGGGCAAGGGCAATGGCAGGGTGGCTGGTTAGCGGGAGGTCACAGCCAGAATCCAGCCACAGGGCAGGCACTTTATTTCTGCTGTACCCCCAGCGCACGCCATGGGAGCGGGCACTCAACAGACACCGAACTTTTGGTGCCCAACTTCCCATTCTCAAGACTGTTATCTGAATATTGCAGTCACAGGAAGAGAGCACCCAAGCCCAGCCACAGGAGATCCTGATGGGTTAGAGGAAACTGAACTTTTAGCGGGACCTGCAGATGCTTCTAGGCATGCAGGCAAAGCCTTTTGTGTCACTTAGATACCGTACTCGATCTTAGCTAAAAGGCCAAGAAACATTTATTGTCACTTAGGAACACTGAGTTGTAGGTAACAGAGACCAACAATAGCTTAGACAAACAGATTTATTATTATTTACAAGAATTCAGGAGGATAGCTGCTGGCGTTGGCTTGGTCAAAGGAGTGCTGTGATTCTCTTGGCCTTTTTCTCATGTAGAAAGGTGGCTACTATGGTTCCAGGCATCACATCCTCAATCAAGGCAGGAAGAAGGGAGGAGTGTGGGGAAGGAATTAGCCATGCCTCTGTTTATCAGAAAAGTTTAAGCTTTCCCAAAGCCCCTGTAGACTTCCATTTCCATTTCATTGGCCATACCTGGTCACATGGTCACCCCAGGCTGCAAAGCAGACTGGAGCCCTGAGAATCTGGATTTATAGCCTGTGGGAGGTGGGCAGAGGGATGGAGTCGGGAATGACCACCAGGAGTGCACCAGGATGTCAGCCTTGGATCTGCTAAATGGCAGCATGCTTGATGTCCTTCTACTTCTGAGGCTTCATCTCCATGTAGCCTCTCTGGGGGGCTCTGGGTGGAATCTCAAGCATTCCCTTGGTGTTCCTGCTCCATCCTGACACTGTCTTGCCCGCCTCTCTTGGCAGTGCTGGAAAGCAAATCCAGGGCCTCCCACATGCTAGGCAAGCACTCAGTCACAACCCCAGCCCTTTTTTATTTTAGACAGGGTCTTGCTAAGTTGCCCAGGCTGGACTCGAACTTGCCATCCTCCTGCCTCAGCCTCCTAGGGTGCTGAGATTATCCATGTGTGTCACAACACCTGGCTGCCTGTCACCTTTAATGAATGGTGTACAAAGCCTGAGGCAGGGATTTTATTCTTCAAGGGAAAAGGCACAGGCAGCCTTATCCTCTAAATCGTTAAAAATGGCAAGAAGTCAAAGGTTAAAATATTTGGGTCTCAGACAGGAAGAATGGTGGATTTATGGGAGCTGGCGGGAGTGTTTCCAGGGGCCTCCGGGGACACAGGCCAGAAACATGGGCTCACAGAGGCCAGTCCGGAAGTGTGGCAGTGGGGTGTGCAAGCTACTGTTTATATTTCTAGAAGCCGACTGGAAATCACTGTACATTTGCTTTCCAAAAAGGCTGCAGAAAGTTATTTTTCCTTTTTGGCTAGAATTACATAATGGTGTGGCCACACTCTGGGAAATGCAGACTGGCAGTTAGGGCTCTCTGGGGACAGTGACAGTCACATAAGCAACACAGTTTGGAAGCCAGTGGAAGGAGTCCCCGGGCAGGGTGGGGAATGAAGGAGGAGTCCTGGGGTGCCAGGGGGCTTTGTGACCCCCAGGGTGGAAGACCATGGTAGTGGGTGCTGTGTCTCGTCCAGACCACCCCCGAATGCTCTGGCCTCGCCACTCAGCCTGTCCTCAAAGCTGCCTCACCTGGAGCATGTAAGACGTGCCCGTCCCACACTGACCGCCACAGCTATTTTAACAAGATCCCAGGATCCCTGTGCACATGAAGCAGGAGCAGCACTGTCGGGACTGCAGCCGGGCTAGGTGTGACCACGGGCCTGACCCAGGAGGAGAAACCAGCCCAGCGTTCGGGCGGAGCCGCCCCCTTCCCTCCTGGCCTTGATGGCTGCCTGCGGGCTGCCCTGCCTTCCTCACCATTGACCACTTAGCCTTTCTCTGCCTGGTGGGTTTCAAGGCAGCTGCCCTAAGCTCAGCTCTACCCCACACCTAGACTCTGCAAAACCGCAGGTAGCTGCTCACCAGGCCTGCTAGGAGCCAGCCACTCTGCTGCAAGGGCCCGGAGGCTGTGCTGGCTGGGAGGGTGCTGTCCCCCTCTAGTCTGCCCTGCTGGCCCAGAACCCGGGAGGGCGTGGGGCATTTTTCCCAGCAGTGGCTTCATTTGGGGGCAGGAGGGGCAAATGCTGAGAAGGAAAAGCTCAGGGGTCCCTAGCTGCCCAGGAGCCACGGAGCCACAGGAGCAGTGTCAGTGGCCCGGGACTAGGCTGTGGGGTACAGAGGGCTGCAGAGGGGGTCCCTACAGTGCTCGCTCCTCGCTGGGCAGGGTGGCGATTCTCCTCAGGTTTTCCCTGACTTTGATGAATTCCGGAGTGTGGTCCTCCTCCTTTTCCGGTGGCTTTTCCAGCTGAAGGAGAGAGAGGCAGAGGTGTGAAACGCGTGGGCTGGGTTCCGATTTCCGAGTGGTAGAGCCCTGACCGAAGCCCTCCGCCCTGGCCCTGGCCCTGACTGATGGGAGCCCGCCAGGAGGGCTCGGTGGGGCTGGTGCCCTTCCCACCTGGTTCAGCAGCTGCCGCCGCCGCAGCAGCTCCTGTTCAAAGGGGCACTGCAGCCGCTTGGCCTCCAGCTCCTCCTTCTTCTTCTTGATGAGCTGGTTCCGGCGGCGGTGCTCCAGGACCCGCTGCAGCTCGGGCTTGCTGTCCACTCCGATGCCTCTGGGGCAGGAGGAGAGTCAGGAGGACCCCTCCTTCCCATCCTCCCAGCCCCAGCCGCAGGGCGCCCCTCGAGGTGACACCTGCACTGTCAGATGACCTGGGGGCGGGGCCGTTCCCGTCCCATGCAGGAGGGGATCTACACTATCGAAAGTGGCAAGGAAGGATTTGAACCCAGAGCTGTCTCAGGAAGGTAGAATGGCTCATTTTTTTTGGTACCGGGGAATCGAACTCGGGTCCTTGCGCTTGCAAGGCAGGCGGCGGCACCACTGAGCTCAATCCCCGGCCCATTGGTTGAGCTTCTAAGCAGACTGTGAGTACAGGTTATCCAAGTGGTACTCTGCACCATCCTTCGAGAACATCTATTTCTCCCCGTCATCACAGCCAATCTTTTTATATCTGGGAAACAGGCAAGAAATAATATCTGGTTTCATTTGTTTCCTTGATTATTAGTTGCCAGGGAGCCTTTGATACATTTACCAGCCATTTATGCATGAACTCTGCCTGGTTCTGTTCAGCTTTTCCTTGTGGATTAAGAGATATGAATATATTAATATTTTTATGCATATACAATTTCTTCAACATTGTTTTTATTATAAATATTTCTCCTGGTTTGTCTTTAAGCCACTTTCTGTTTTTTTCCGGTACCAGGGATTGAACTCAGGACCCTGTACTTTCGAGGCAGACAGCAGCACACTGAGCTAAACCCAAGGCCCTGGGACAGTCATTCTTAAAAGGCAGTCACAGAAAGTATAGTCATAATGCTAAGTGGAAAATAAGCCCGAAGCAGCCCACTGTTTTGGGGCTCCCCCACCCCAGCCACCCCAGCCCTTTGGATATGTCAGTACCGCAGCCGGCCACCAGGGGGCGGGGCTAGCCGACATGGTTACCTTCATCCTGCTGCTGGTGAGCCGGGAGCTATTTTCTGGGCCTCAGAGAGGAACCTCGGCCTCCCTCTCCCCGTCTCTCTCATGGGATCCCCAGGGTGTTACCATCCTGCACGTCTCTGCTTTGGTGTCGCTCCTCCCCAGAGGGCCTTTCTGGGGGCATGGATGGACAGACAGGGCCATTCTGCTGGGGCCCTGTCCTAGCCATGCTCTTCCCAGTCTCCCCTCAACCACATGGCTTCCTCGTGCTCCTGTCCTTTTTTTTTTGGTGCCAGGGATCAAACTTGGAACTTTTCACCTGCAAGGCAGGCCTCTCCTGTCCATTTGAACATGGGATTCCCTGGCGTCCACCCGTCACCTGCTACCTGGCCTACTCCTGTCCCCACTTCATCGCTGTTTCAGGTTTTCTCTGACTCCTTCCTGGTTCCTCCTGTGGGGTCACAGGCCCATTTATACCCCCATCCAAGCACGCATCCCATGACCTCTGCGAGGGCAGGAACTGGGTCCCCTTCTGGTGTGGTTTCTATCTGCAGGTTCCCCCAAAGTCCCCTGTACCCATAGGCGGGGCTTTGGGGAAGTGCCTGGATCATGGGGGCCTGATACTCACTCACTGTACCAGCCCGCCGATGAGGTTATAGCTATAAATGTGATGCTGGGCAATGAAGCTTGGCTGGAGGAGGGGTCCCCGGGGCGGGGCCTGAAGCGTCACTTCCTGTCACCTGCTTCCTGTCACCATGCCATGAGCTGTTTCTTTTCTGCCATGCCGCCTTGCCTTGGAGACAGCTGATAATCAACTGAATCCTCTATAAACTGTGAGCCATAATACACTTTTCCTCTTTCGGGTTGTATGCATCCAGTGCTGTGTCTTAGTGACAAGAAAAGTAACCCAGACACGTTCCTTCTTGAATCCTAGCTCTAATCACTCTGTGGTTGGAAGAACTTTATTGGGGGAGCCAGGGGTTATACTCAAGGCCTTCGCACTGAGCTGTATTCCAGCTTTTTCTTTCAGTTTTGAAGGAGACTTTCCCTAAATTACTAAGTTGCCCACGCTGAGATTTTACTTGGGGTCCTCCTGCTTCAGCTTCCCAGAGTGCTAGGATGACTGAGAATAGACCTTTTTGAGGCCCACTGGGGAGGGGACCATAATCACACGGGGCCCCCTTAAGCCTCCTTAGCCTTCAGAAGCCCCATGAAGATGGCCAGGCCGGCTCCGCCCCTCACCTTCGGTGGTTCATGAGCAGCTCTCTGTGCAGCTCCTGGTGGCTCCGGGAGGCCTTCACTGGGTTCAGCAGCTTCTTGGGCTTGATGAGCTCAGGGTTCCACTCTCTGTACTCCGGCCGGGCCATCAGGCCCCCGATGTCCGCCCGCTCCCGCTGGATCTCCGAGTACATGGAGGCTGTGCAGGCGGGCAGAGGACGGGGTCAGAGCCGGGCTCACAACCCAGCCTTCTCTGGGGCGCTGCAGGGAGGGGGCGGGGTTTCTGCGTGGGGTAACCTCGGCCCCTGCGACACACCCGACCTTCCACACCTTGCTCTCCTCATCTGTGAAGTTAAAGCAATAAGTGAGCCTGCGCACAGGCTGCTGCAGGTACTGGAGATGACCTCTAAGTGTCTGGGGCAGGGATGGCGAGCCTTTTAGAGCTTTCAGTGATGATAAATCGCCCGATACGGCATGCGTGCCATAGGTTCACCGCCTTCGGTTCAGGGCATTCAAGTAAGATGATTCCGGGTTACAGAGTGTGGGTGGACACGTGCATGTGTCGTTGGTCTGGTGTTGCAAAAAACAAAGCCAATAAAAGGGATTATGTTTGAGTTTCTCCTTTAGAGTGGGGCTGTGCCTGAAAAAGAAGGGACGTGTTGAAGGGTCGTGTATACTTTTTAAAGATAGCTGAGATGAACGCAGGGCTGAATGGAAGCTGTCACCCTGTCGTCCCCAGTTTTGCTCGTGGAAGGGCCTTTCCCTCCGCCCACAGCATCAAGCCGAGTGTGAAGCACAGGGGCGGCCGTGTCCCTAGTTGCAAAGCGACGGTTGTCAGCTTTTAGCCAATGTCTGGCTACGTGGCCTTGCTGCGTCAGAGGGGCTTAAAATTTGCCAGTGTGCTTGAAATTCCAGCAGAAGGGTTCCCTCGGCTACAAACTGCTCCCTATCCTTGAAATGCTTGAGGAGCTAGGAAGAGCCAGAGACAGAACTAAAAAAAAAAAAAAAAAAAAAAAAAAAAAAGTCTCAGGGCTGGGGATGCTGCTCAGTGGGCGAACTCCTGCCTTGAATTGCCAGGGCCTGGGTTCGATCCCCCATGTCCAAAACCTCTCAAAGGCACGGCCACTGCCTGGCCGTTGGCTGTCGATGTAATCCCAGTGGACATTTACACCCGCGCTCTGCCCTCTCCAAGGTTGAGGCCCTTCTCCTCGCCAGGCACAGGCAGCGGCCCGTCGACAGTAAACGCTTGTCGGGTCGGGGACACGGCCCTCGGGAACCGGGTCCTGAGCATGCGCCCTCCCTGAGGCAGAGCGGGGCGGCACCAGGGAACCACTCTGGGCTCCTGGGAAGAGGGTGGGAAAGAGGTGGGTGGGGAGGAAACACAGAGGGGTGTGCGGCGGGGTGCAAGTGGGAGGAGCCTGCTCGGGGAGCTCAGGAGCTGAGAGGGAGGCTGGGCTGTGCAGCCGGCGTTTCGGTTACCAGCATCACAGGGGCTGTCGCAGGATGAGCCCGCATCTCTGAGTGCTGCATGAACTGGAAAAAGTGCTGTTATCACTGGGATGTGGCCAGATCAAGTGTCAGAGTACAGAAACATCTGCTATTTTTCTTTCTGGAGTTAACATTCTCAGAACCATTTCTAAGGTGAGCATTCTTAGTCCTTTAATCTTTTCCGCAGAGCTGCTTCTTTTCAGGTTATGTCCTCTATGAGCTTTTGGCTCTTTTAAGTGACCGTGAGGGTGTGCGGTAGTTTAAAATGGGCCCTTGACAAATCAGCAGTTGCCTTGTATTCCCTCTCTTTGCGTGGGGAACTTTTCTTAGTCTCTGGGACCAGCTGGTCTGGAACACCCTGATTCAAACTGGACTTTGGGGACCCTCTTTTCCTGGATGCCTAGTTCTTTTACCAATCTCCAGTGACCCTTCTGCTGAGTAATTTTCAGCTACACGTTCCTTCCCATGTCCTCAGCTTTCATTCTTTCTGCATCAAAATCCCTCCCTTTTGTTCTCTTTCTTTCTTTGACCGGGTCTCACTACATAGTTCAAGTTGGCCTTGAACTCACTCTGTAGTCCAGGCTGGTGATCCTCCTGCCTCAGCCTCCCAAGTGCACTGCCATGCCCGGTCACACCACAGTTTAATACCTACTATGACTCCCTGGTTATTCTCCCATCCTTGGTCTGTTTGTGCCCCAGACCTTCCAGAGTTACATACTTTTCATTAGCCAGGCGACCTTTAAAAGAACAAACTCTATGATGTCAAAGTTATAAGGCAGAGAATAGAAATAAGCTATATAACTTTGGAAAAGGAGGTGGCAAAATTAATATTTGAAAAAGATACAGCTATACACCTAGCAACACACTGGGAGATGGAATGCAGCAGTGTTGCCAGATGCAGAGTAATTACCCGAGTCAGTTGAGGACTGGCTACAGGGGAGGCTGTGACGGTGGAGCAGCCATGCCTTCCACAGTGCCCGAGCCCCGAACCTGCCAGTCCTGTGTAGACCTTGGACACATGGAGGGGGACTCCACAAGCAAGCTCCCTGCTCTCACAGAGCCAGGTGCAGGGGAGGCATCAGAGGTGCCACATTTGCAAGCCGAGGCTGGGACTGAAGGGGGAGTCTGGGTGGGGCCAACGCCGCATTTTAGACAAGCTGGGTCTGTTCAGCCAGCACAGAAGCTCAGTGTCCTGGGAGGCTTGGACGCCAGCAGGGTTCACAGTGAGGGGACAGGTGGGTTCCAGTTTCAGAAAGAGCCGGGCGGACTTGATTTTTAAAAGGTCATTCTGGCTGCTGTGCGAGGAAAACTGTCAGCAAGTTTGGGGAATTTTTATGACTGTAGTTTCCATCACTGCCCGTGGGCGATCTCTGTCTCTCTTTCCCATTGAATGCAGCTGAAAAACTCTCCTCCTGGCCACTGCCCCAGGGTCAGGACCCCACAAAGGAGGACTTGGCCACGCAGTGGACCTGCGAAGAGGGGCCTTGCGAGCTGGGCTTAGCCTGGCTTGTGATGCCTTGAAATTCCCATACATTCTGAGCAAGGGGCCTGCAAGTTCATTACACGCAGGCTCTGCAGATGACGCAGTCCAGCACCCCACGGTGACCACTGGCCAGTCCCGGTGCAAGGACTGGCTCCAAGGCCCTGACCCCGAAGCATGTGGCTGACTCCTTTTTTTTTTTGTAAGCCCTGGAAATTGAACTGAAGGCCTTTGTACTGAACTATATGCCCAGACCGTTTTTATGTTTTACTCCTGACACGGGGTCTTGCTAAGTCCTTAAATTGCCCAGGGGGAGCTCACACTTGCAACCCCTTGCCTCAGCCTCCCAGAGCGCGGGGTTATAGGTGTGCAGCACCGTGCCCAGCAGTGGCTGGTTCAGCAGCTCAGAGCTGCAGGTGGGAAAGAGCTGCTTTTGCCACTCAGGAGAGAGGTATGGAGCCCAGCACATGTGAGAGCCTTGTGGGGTGGAGAGGGCAGGCCTGTGGGAAACTCAGGGATTTGGAGCTGCAAAGCCAGCCTCACTGCCTTTTCATCTAATGAAGGCTTCTCTGTAGAAGAACCTCACTCAAGCCCTGTCACAAAGAGGCTTTCTCAAAAGAAGCTTTGAAATTGTGCAGTACCCAGCTTGCCCACTTGCCTTGCTGTATGGGCAGCCCTGGTAGCCAGGGCCGAGCCCGAAGCATTTGCCAAGCACCATGCAACTTCAAAGCACAAGAAAAGCGAGACTGTCCCGGGGCTGATGGGCCTGGGGGGAGGCGGTATTAACGGGTCATCTCTGAAAGCAGAAAAGAGGAAGGAACCCCAAGGAACACTAAGCTTCAGGGGAGCGGATCTGGCGAGAGGAGAGGGGGAAAGTTCAAGGGTGGCTAATATCCCGTAGAGATAGGCAGAAGTCAGAAGTCCCGCAGCGGGACCTGGGTTTGAATCTGGGCACTGTCCTAGTACCCAAGTCCACTACAAGGATTCGGATTTAATTGGCTTAGGGGACAACTTGGCCTCTGAAATTTGTAAAGTTCCCGAGGTGATTCCAATAGCAGGAGATCTTTGCAAAGCATGGACTTAAACAAAGGGCCCAAGCAACCAAGCTTCTTTGCTTCGGCCCAACTGGTTGGGCCTGGTCATCGCGAGCAGGGCTGTGAGCGGTTCTTAGCAGCTGTGTGACTTGGGTGGCTTTGATTCCGGGGACCCTCTTCTGTACACTCAGGATGCTGAAGATGGGTGAACTCAGGCGCCGGGCATGGGGCTGAGGGAGGCCGGAGGAGACAGCCAAAGTGCGTGTCTTGTGGGACTTCACAGTGGGCAAAAACTCCCAGGGGTGGACCTCGTCACTCACGGACAGGGCTAACGAGTGGTCGGAGGAGAGACTGCAGCCCCTTGCTCGGTTCTGCCCTGGTTCTACAGATGAGCCCAGAGACTGCACACCAGGGAAGGCTCAGCAGGGCTGTGCAAGACTGCTGTTAGGACAGATGCTTTGAAACTAAGTGCTGGGCCCTCCTGGGTACCAGGAGGAGGGGTGGGAGGAGTCACACCGATGGGGCTCCAGGTCCCTCTGTCTCCATGCTAAGATGACTGTGGGACCACAGGCTGAGGTATTGGCAGCCCCTCCACCTCGCTGTCCCCTGCTCGTGGTTCTGACTGTGTCTTCGACGGCTTCAGTCAGCAAATGACACATAAGCCAGGAAAGCTCTGCGGCGACAGCAGATGTCTCCGAGGGGTCAGACTGGATTTAAGACACAGCGGCACCCTTCTGTCACTGTGTGGCCTCAGGCAAATGGCTCACCTTCCCTCCCTGTGCCTCTACTCTGCACAGTGGGGACAATGACAGTGTCCGCTCGTGGGCCGTCCGGAGGCTGAAATGACACCACTTGCAGATGTTCGAGGCCCGGGCCCGACAGAATGGCGTTCATGTGTGCAAACTGCCGCCCTGCTGACCCAAGGGCTCTGCTGCCAAACACTGGATACTTGGTCTGGGTCTCATCACCTCAAGAGTTTATGGATGAAAACCAAGGTCCAGCAGAGCTGGGGTACACAGTAAATGGCAGAGCCAGGGTTCAGACTCCAGACTCAGGGCTCTTGCTACCATGCCAGGCTGCAGGTGCAAAATGTTTTGCTGTGGATGAAGCTTCCCTTTCCTCTCTCTGTCTACTCAGGAAACCCCAGTGAAGAGGCACTGGGAGCCCATTTTAGAGACAAGAAAAGGGAGGCCTGGTCACTGGAGGACTAGGAGCCCCTATGACGCACAAACCTCACTGGGGCACCGTGGCCCACACTGGCAGCCTCAGATCGGAGCCAGAACCCACAGGCCTGGCTGCCTGTGGTTGGCTCGCTCTGGGCAGCCGGCCAGTCTCCACTGCCCACCCTACTGAGAACTGACATGGCCACAGGGCAGAGGAGAAGATGGGCTTTTACAACAAACAATGGCTGGCAAGGCAGAAAGAAGCATTCAGAACAGCGACAAGTGTGGCCGCTGGATTTCCCTTTCTCGCCCTTTTCCTCCCACTGTGTCTTTCTGGCTGGCGGCCACCTCCAGACCCACAGGTAGCCTCTGGCCGAAGCCCTGAAGACTCAGCGGAGCTCTCTGCGCGTCAGATGTGATGACCACTCAGCCACACAGCTTCTTACTATGTGAGGAGCAGAGCTGGGGCGCCTTTGGGGGTTGAGTCAATTCCACAGTATGGCCCAGGGCTGGACCAGGGGGTCCCTAACAGTGCTGGTGGTCAGTGTCGTGTCGCTGAGAGGGAACAAGCACCAGCAGGCCAGGCTTTCCCACAGGACCACATGGCAGGTGCCCCCACAGGGAAGACCCTGGCAGATATGACTGCCCATGAGCTAAGACAGCCACGCAGGGTCCGTGCCACCCAGGAGGCAGGCGCTGTCTCAGAGTCAGAAACCACCCAGGGTTGGTAGCAGTTTCAAAAGTGCCACATCCAAGTCGGGCATGGTGGCGCACACCTGTAATCCCAGTATTCGGGAGGCTGAGGCA